TAAAATGAGTAAGAAACTTATATCTTCGGGTGCCTCTATGTCTACCTCCGCCTCCCCACCATCTGGACAGCGTTCAATTCAGACAATGTTAAAGCAAGATAAAGAAAAAGAACAAGAAAGAGCATCTTTTCAGATGATTATGCAAGGAATTCAAGATCTTAAGGTAAAAATAGATACCATTGAACAAAGAACAGGGAGGACGGAGGAAAAAGTGGAAAGTATTCAACAGATGATGACAAAATATGAGGAGAGACTTCAAAAAGTCGAAGAAGGGGGTAAACGAAGAGAGGAGAAGATTGGAAATATTGATAATAGACTAACAGTGATTGAACAAGAAAAAAGTGGGATGTTGAAGTGGGAGTTGGATAGATCAGAATTCTATCTTAGATTTCAAAATATAGAAGAAGAAAAAGGACAAGATTTGGCTGCGATAATGGTAGGAATCTTGGCGGATGCGTTGGAGATAACAGAAGAGAAGATGATGGATGGAATAGATGAGATATATCGAGTTTTTACAAGATATGCGATGAGAAATAATCTGCCCAGAGAAGTCCATATTAGATTTACTAAAAAATCCATGAAGACACAAATATTACAAGTGGCAAGAGAGAAGATATTGAAATACAAAGGTAAAGAAATCTTGGTTTTAAAACAAATACCCAGAAGAGTGAGAGAGATGAGAAGAGAATATCGATTCCTGACCAAAATGTTATTGAAAAAGGAGGTGACTTACAGATGGCTGATCCCAGAAGGATTGATGTTTACGTGGCAGGAACAGAGACATAGAATTGATTCAATTGAGAAAGCAGAACTGTTTTATGCAGAAGTCTTTGGAGAGAGAGAAGGAGAGGCAGAAAAGGAGGCTCCATTAACTGAATCCCAAGAGGAACAAATGGAGATTGGAAAAGAAGAAGGTGCAGTAGGTGGACAAGTGGATATTAAAGATCAGCGTGAATCAAGACCCACGAGAGTGGTTAAATCTAAATATAAAATATAAACATGGAAGAGAAAAAACTGATTACAATGAATATAAATGGACTGAATTCAGCTGCTAAGAGAAGGAAGATTTTCCATAAATTAAGGAAACTAAAATTTGATATAATTTGTCTACAAGAAGTACATATTAAAAAGCAACATGAACAATTGTTATTACAACCAAAATTAGGGAAATTGTTTACCTCTTTGACTCAATGTAAGAAAAGAGGGGTGGTCTTATATATTAAAGAGGTTATTCCAGCAAAAATGATTTATACAGATGATGATGGGAGAATATTAATGGTGGAAATAATGGACAATAATAGAAAGATACTTTTGACTGCAATTTATGCCCCGAATGATAAACAGGAAGAATTCTATAAAAAATTACATACCAAGATGGCTGGACTGGACTATGCTAATATAATTATGATGGGAGACTTTAATGGAATTGTGGATAATAAACTTGATTATATTGCAACAGCAGCAAAGTATAATAGAAAAACTCTTCCTAAATCTTTTTTTAAAATGGCAGAGGAATTAACTCTAAAAGACATATGGAGAGAAAGAAATGTTAAACTTAAGCAATATACTTTCTATTCAAAATGATCCGTGGCCCGGTACCGGCATCAGCACGCATGACAAGGCAAGGTGAGCCGAGCGACCAGCCAGCCAGCCATCCCCCGCTTCTCCTTGCCACCTTCAACTCCTCCTTTGTACCTTTGTTGATGGGCTTCGCTTCGGGACGGTCGCTCGGCTTGTCTTGCCTTGGGTGCTGAAAGAATCCTCGTGCCTTAGTTTCGTTCGAAGCCCCCCCTTCGATGAAACTAAGGTGCGAGGATTCCTTCAGGATGCAAACGCCGCTTTCCAATCGGAAAAGCTCACCCGGAAGCACTTTCTCATCAAACAAGATGGCGGTGCCCAGCAAACCGGCAGCCCGGTAGGAAATGTTCCACGGACCGGTGGTTGGGGACCCGTGCTCTAAAACATTAAAAGATAAAGGGGGGGGAATGGAAGGAGAGGGACATACCTAAAGAAGACTGCGTCAGAGTTCCAATCAAACTATCTCAATTCAGTGCTCAGAGACAAAGTCCATCCAAGTAAGACTTTATTGAGAAGTCATATTGGCACATCTGGGAAAACCCAAATCTGAATTCCTGGGTTTTCCCCTGCTAAATTAGACTCACACCCAGCCTCCTTTTCTGATGACCCTCAAATCACACTCTCCAACCCACCTCCATTTTGAACTCCTGCCAAGTCCAGTCACTCCCCTCCAAACTCCAGCGACTCGGCCTTGAGCTCCGGCGAAAGAATGTTGTGGCTGTCCTCCCTTCTCACTTTACTTTCATTCCCACGGTCACCCCTCCTCCCTTGTGGCAGTCCCAAATGCGATTCAATATGGATGGGGGCTGACAACTGCAAGGTGGTCTTCTAAAATTGTAGGAACTCTTATTAGAATAGTTAAATTTCAGAATGAGCTAAAGCTTGCAGGAGATATAAAAACAATGAGTGTTCAATGAGCAGAACTACTTGACTCCTGTTTTTGTGACTGTCTTCCATCAAAAGGGAAATGGGGCCTTAGCAGTGGTGGTATTCAGCCATTTTGCCAGATCGGGCGAACCGGTAACAAAGATTTAGCGTGGGTCGCCAAACTGGTAGTAAGTTCTGGCTGGCCACGCCCCTGACCTGGTCGCCCAGTCACCGCTGGCTCCCTTGACCCGCCCGCCCGATGTTCGCTCACCCCACCTGCCTGATGCTCCCCCCTTAATGTATTTCTTTTTTTCCCCTCTCAACAATCAGTTGTTCATACAATCAGCTGTGCTGGGATTCCCCTTGCTGAGGCCCAGGAAGGCAAAAAATGGAGGGGCTCAGCTCCCCCCTCCATTTTTTGCCTTCCTGAGCCCCAGAGGAGCCTTCTGGGGGCAAAAATACCCCCCCCAGGCTCTTCTGAGGCCAGGAAGGTCCCAGAATGGAACTGGGGGGGGGTGCTCTGTGCCCACTCCAGGCTCCATTTTTTTTTCTTCCTGAGCCCCAGAGGAACCTTCTGGGACCAAAAATGTTCCCCCTAGAGGTTCTTCTGAGGCCCAGAAGGCCCCAAAAAACGGGTGGAGAGTAGCAAAAATAAGCCATGCCCACTCAGTCACATGGCCACACCCACCTAGCCACGCCCACCTAGCCATGCCCACAAACCAGTAGTAAAAATAATCATATCACAGCCTTAGGTAGTCGTCATTATGCCCCCAAATAAACTGAATTAAATCAGGGCCAGATAGATTATTGAAAATACTAAGCAGACATCATTTCAGAGTCATTTTACTAATATTTGAGAACTCTTGGACTAAAATTTCAGAAGCTGGGAGGAGAGCAAATGTCATCCTCATCTTCCAAAAAAGGAACTATAAACTACCAGCCTCCAGTCTGTCTGAATCAATGAGAGTTTTGTACCCGTTATATTTTGGTGATTCAAATATTATCTTGAACTCCTGGCAGAATTAAAGGTTCATGATAGAAAATGATTAATAATACATTTCTGCACAGAATTTAAGAGAGTCCTTTATTCAATAGGCTGTGGCCTAAGAAATTTAGAAGTCCGGTTTACTGTACGTCTTATTTGACCTTATTTGTTTAGTTAGCTGGTTATTAGTTAGTTTAGTTAGTTTTTGATTAGTCCATAGCCCATATCAAAATACAGAGTCCAAACAAAATTATTAATAAAATTCTGTAAAAACAATTTAAAATGAAACCAGTGTAAAATACAATAGTTTGATATATAGATAAGTAACATAAAATAAAATATTTCAGTATGACCCCTAAAATCTACTGACCTTATTAAAAAATCAATGCTGGCTAATCCTTAGGTTTATAAATTATATTAATTCATTTACTGTAAGTAACTTTTTTGGAAAAATAATACATAGAAATTTAAAATTGCTAGTGTTCAAATTTTCTGAGATAGTTTTCTTCTCATTCTCTGGGGTGTTTCTCTTTCAAGGCAATTAAGTTGCCTTCTGAACCTTAAGCTGTCCTATAAAATAGCCCTAATCACAAATGACCCTGCATCTTAAAGCACTTAAGTGGATTTCTTTTTTTATTCATCACTGCAGTTTGCTGCAAGAAATACTGATGATGGAATGTCCTGTTTGGCCAAGGTCCCTCCTTGCAGCCCACCCTTGTATACCCCCAGAGGCCGGATGAAAGCATTTTCAACAGCTGCTTAGCCAGAGCTGAGCATAACTTCAAAAACACCTTTAGAAAAAAGCCATCTAGGAATCTATTGTGCAACAGCATAAAGAAGATGGGATCTTTTTATTAGACAATTAATACTTTAATTATTCCCACCTGTTAGCTGTAAGGTTGGCTGAAGCAACTTGGCATAAGTCTTTGCCTCAGCAGGGAGCCTAGGGGCGGGACCAGCAATGTCAAAAACGTTGGGATGGTTGGCAAGCCATTTGTCAATTTTAGGACAATGAGCTTTTGTTAAGCTTTACTAATGCTTTTAGAAGCTCAGCCTACTTCGGCACTTAACCAAACTAAAAACTAATATATGTTGTCTTTGCTTTGTTATTATTAAATAATATATTTTGGTTTTGCCAAAAGACCTAGCTTATGCATATGTTTATGTATATTTTTATGTTTGTGTATTTATTTATTGGATTTATGGGGCTGCCCAATTCAAACAGTGTGAACCTAGGAGGGCAGATTACAGCAAAAAAACAAAGACTAAAACAAAAACAACAATACCTCACCACATAATGCTAAAAAACCTATACAATATCTGAAATATAAACCATTCCGTGGATTTGTTTATTTTTTCCTTTTGGAAAAGGCTGAATGCTCATTTATTATGGCCAGGGCAATTTCCCAAGAATAAATGTGAATCAGCTGTAATAGGCCTACTTGTAGAATGTCAGATTCTAGTTTCAAAGGAAGGAAAAATTATATGATCCAGACCAGTCTATGTTGATGTTAACTGATTAACTGTTTTTTTTTCTTTTTCTTTCTCTCTCTTATGCTAACCATGACAGGAGCTGAATTCTAAACTCCACTCTCTTGGCAAGGTGGAATCTAGGAAGCTGTTAACTCTGACTACTCAACTTGTTGAGGAAAAGCTACAGGCATCTGAAGAGGAAGACGTTGCAAAATACAAAGAGAAACTTGAGGAGTGGGAAAAAGAGCGAACGATGCTGGTTGAAAGGGAGCAAGAAATGAAAGAAAAAGCTAAGGAAATGATGGAAATGAAAAAAAAAGCAAATGCAGCCACATGATGCTTTTGCTGATAGACTTCCATTATGCCTTAGGTTGTCTTGGCAATAAACAGAATCTCATCCTGTCTAGTACCTTCTACAGACTTGGCTCTCCACGCATTAAATCTTTACACAATCCAGGCTATATGTCATCCCCTTCTCTAAAATCTATTATTATTGCTGTTCTTCTGAAAGTATACATTACCTCTGTTGTGTCTGAGAACAAAAGTCTGTCATTTAATCAAATGGTTCCTTTAAAAAATGTTGGGGTGAGATAGTACATTTAGAAGAATCATTGTCATCATCAGCACACGCTGTTTTTCATGACAGTTACTGTCAAGAATTGCTGGTGGTTTTGAAATCAGAGAAAACAATAAATAAATGTAATTTGAATGTGTCCATGTGTTCATACGTGTTTTGTTGTTTCTTGATCAAAGCAGTTTCCCAACTTTCCAACTCCAGTTCAGTTCAGAGTTCAGTTCAGTTCAGTTCTCCAGTTCAGAGAATCAGAAATAAATCTATTCTGCCGTGATCTGTGAATATTAATCTGGATCAGCTCTTCTCAATCCTTGAAATAGGTCAGATTACAGCTCCTATTACTAACGAATGTGAGAGAAAGAGGCTGACCTAGACTCTAGCCAGGAAGGCACTATATATCTTTTTAATAAAATACAGTAAAATCTCAATAAAATAAATCTCTTCATTTTGTTTTGTCAAACTTCTTGCCAAAGTTGATGTTTAAATATAAAACTAAAAACGCCATCGGGAGCTAATTCACCTAGAAGAATGCAATAAATTTAGTTCCTGTTCGCTGATTAGTTGGTTTATGTTTGTTTTTAGTTGGCATTTTGTATTTCGCTTTTATACCTTTGTTTACTGTATTATTGTATGCCACACAGATCTGCTGTCAGGGCTCCAACAAATCCACCCTCAATCAAAGCAAAAGTCTCTAGCCACATCTCCGAAAAATTTCGGTTTATTAGAAATTGCGATGCTGGCACATGGCTGGGTGCAGCCGATACTAAATCACATCATACATTTCCCCCTTGACCCTGGTCTTTCCCCCACCCCCTGGATGTGACTTCTCCAATGGGACACATCAGTCTCCAAGAGTCATCCAACATGCTCTCCAATAATCTTCTTATGCTCCGACAACTTTGGGCTGTTGAGTTGATTATCTAGGCATTTCAAGAATGCCTTGTTTTCCCCCACTCCCTTTTTCTGGCAGCTAAAAAGACCAAAGGAGTATCTTTTTAGTTGACATCCTCATTGTTCAAACTGGGCAGCTATTTATAAACTTTAAGTATACAGGGAGACCTCTACTTATGACCACAATTGAACCTAAAGTTTGTTTCTAAGCAAGGCACTTGTTCAGTGAGTTTTGTTCCGTTTTGCTTTTCTTGCCACTCTTGTTAAGTGAATCACTGCAGGTGTTAAGTTAGTAGCACAACTGTTAAGTGATTCTAGCTTCCCCATTGACTTTGCTTGCCAGCAGGTCGCAAATGGGGATCACATGACATTAGGGCATTGCAACTGTCATAAAAGTAAGCCAGTTACCAATTGTCTGAATTTGCTCATATGGCCATGGGGATGCTGAAAACAGCCGTAAGTATGAAAAACAGCTGTAAGTCACTTTCTTCAGTGTATTGTAACTTTGAACGATCACTAAATGAACACTTGTAAGTCAAGGACTACCTGTATTATAATACAGGTAGCTCTCGGCTTACATCCATTCATTCAGTGACCTGTGTCAGCCCTGAATGAATATTTTCAACCAGTGGTTGAAGTTCCAGTTATCATGGCATCCCTGTGAACATATGATCATGATTTGTGATCTTTCTGCTTCCCATAAGTGAAGTCAGTGAAGAAGCCATCAGTATGTCAGAGGTTGTAATCATGGGAGGTCTTTGCTTATCATCCTGCATGGTCCTTTCCTAATTGCAGCAATAAAACCATCAGAACTTATTTGTTTATTAAATGTTTACAGTCCCCATTTCACTTATATAGCGATTTTGAGTGGTTTATGATATGATAAAAAATGAAAAAGTACTACAGGACGATTAAAATTAGAAGGGTTAAATAAAAAAGTTAAAAACCAAGGTGGTTCAGTGGGGGGAGGCACCTGGAAGTGGGAATCTTCTCTATCAAGTCAGATGTCCTCTTCTTCGGCGACAAACCAAAATCTGCGATTGTGCACAATTTTGATCTGTGCTCGCCGCTGGAGCACCCTAAGCCAGCTGTTTTGGGGCTAAGCCACCCCATAGAAGTGGTGAAGAGGGGGGAGACTGCCAGCAGGGTCAAGGAGAGCCACATCTCTCCTCCCCAGCTGGCCATTACTCCCTTTCCCGAAGGCGGTTGCAGCGGTGGTCAGAAATGGCAACCTCAAAGAAGAACTTGACCGGAAAAGAATGTGCAGGAGGAAGATAAGAAGAGAAAGTTTTGGGCTGACTGGGTCGAACTGGAAAAACAACAAAAAAAGGTACCCTAGAATTTGAATTATAAAGAACAACATTGTTCCCAAAGAAGACTTTGAAGCTGCAAATGAGAGAGGAAACGGAAAGGATTTGGTTTTTTTTTTTTTCTTCCCTATATTGACAACTAAGAGATTTCAGGAAGAAATTGGCAAAAATTCACTTTGACAGTAACAGGTATTTAAGCTGAAAATAAAATGTCAAAGGGATAATAAAGATTTCTGGAAAAAGGGAGGAGACCACCTGGAAGTGAAAGGAATTAACAGTGAAATTTTAACAAGATTCCTAAAAGATACATTTTAACTGAAACTTTATAACAAGATAAGAGAACCCCAGGAAGAGAAAGTGGAAAAAAGAAGCAAGAAGAAACAGTTTTGGATTATTTGGATTACTTGGTGATTTTTGGATTTTTGGCTATTGGATCTAAAGGACTAAAATTAATCGGGTGGTTGTTTAAAAAGTTTTAAAATGATATCACTCTTGGAAGAATTGAGAATGGAACTTAAAAAACAGAAGATGCGCAAGAAGGAAGAGGTTCTTTTTGTTTCGTATTTCAATTTTTAGAAATGGGGATCCTGAACTATGAGAAACAACAAGAAATGCCTGTAGAACGGCAGGAAAAAGAAGCCATCTTCAATGACCAAGTATTTCTGTGGGAAAAAGAAAGGAAAGTAGGGAAAGAGAGTGAAAAATTTAAGATCCGAAAAAACAACCCCCAAAAAGAATAGTTTGAAAAGTAATTATAACATTAGGAAGAAACAGAAGAGAGGATTACAGAAGAGAGAATCAGAATTAGAGAGAGAAGGGGTCAAAAAGGGGAGGGAGAAGAGGGAGAAGAGGGAAAGGACAGAACCAGGACATAGAGAAACAAGGAAAACATACAAGACACAGAGATAATGGGGGAAAACTGAATTGAAAGGGGGATTCACCTGCTTTCCTCATTCCAGATTTTCTAGAAATCTCTATCAAATTATCTAGTTTTTCCTTTTCCCCTCTATTTGCTATTTCTTGGTCAAATGATTAGGCAAGCATGCTAAAACATAACTTTTAATCTAGTGAAAAAGAACCTGTTTATGGTAATAGTTAAGATACTAGGCTAGAAACCAGGAGACTGAATTCTAGTTCCACTTTCAGCACAAAGCCAGCTGAGTATTCCTCGATAACTCACTCTCAGCCCTAGGAAGGAGGTTCTGGCAAGAAACCATGTCTGAAAATCTTGCCAAGAAAACTGCAGGATCTAATATAGGCTGTCACCAAGAATCAACACTGACTGGAAGGTGTGTATGTACTGGATACGCCTCTGCATTTTTTGGAAATGATGTCCTCCATAAACTGAAAATTCAATTTGACATTTGTCTTGCTTATAAGTGAGTGAGAATATGAGTGTGCCACATCATTTGTCAAGCAAATGACTAAAAGAAAATGTTACTTGCAAGCAGGGGTGGGATTCAAACTTTTTAACAACTGGTTCTGTGGGCATGGCTTAGTTGGTGGGCTTGCCTTGGTGGTCATGTGACTGGGTGGACGTGGCTTGGTGGTCATGTTATTGGCTGGGCATGGCCAACTCAATATCACTCACATTGAGGCACACATCTCCTCACTTGGCCTCTCATGACTGTGGGGATGCTGCAACAGTCGTAAGTGTGAAAAATGGTCATAAGACACTGTTTTTCAGTGCCATTGTAACTTTGAATGGTCACTCCACACAAGCAAAGTACCAGCAAAGGAGGGGGGAAAAACTCCAGAGAAGTTCCTGAGACAGGAAGTCTAGTCCTGCCAAGAATGTAATAAGGATTAATGGAGAGGCAGTTTCTGTAAGCAACACCAGAATGTTTCCTTCCTACCTTCCTTACAGGATTAGGCCAGTAATTTCTTCTAACAGCTGGTTCTCTGAACTGCTTAGAATGTTAACAACCGGTTCTAGCAAATAGGTGCCAACTGGTAGAATCCCAAGCCTGCCTGCAAGATTTATGATCTGTGACCTTATGATCAGTGATCACTTAGTTTGCTCTTCAGGATTTCCAGCAGTGGTTATGAGCTGCATAAATGCTAATTGCCATAAAACCCCCAATTCTGTCAGCAAAGTTCTAATTGCATTTCATGTGAGCTAATCTTGTCTCTCAACTGTTAAAGACTAGTGTGTATATTTTTCGTGTCAGGTTAATAAGTAGAACACTCAATAAGATTAGCCATTATTGCACTGCAGACCTTAGCACTTCTTATAGTACGATACTCCAGAATATAATTTCTGCTTCAATTTTACATGTATAAATGGTTTCATGTTTATGCAGTATTTTATGGCCTAAAATCTGTATCAGAAACAAATGCATTGGTTGTGATGGCATGTGCAGTTATGTCCAATGGGTAATCCCCCTGATGTGTATAGGGTTGCCATTTGAATTTATCAATTCTTAATTATCATTTTTTTAAAATAATATAAGCACCCCTTTTTTGAAGAGATGTAATTTTTTCATTCCTAAATTGCAGATACAAAGAGCACATCATTGAATGTCTTATGTGGACAATGTCTCTCTGTTCTTACTGTACTTTGCTTATAATACAAGACTGTTTTAAAAAGTGAAAGCACATCTTTACGTATATATGTTCAGCATTCTGTCTTCAACCAAAGTCTTTTGGTTTGACTTTGCATGCCTAGTTACACATTCAGAAAATGTAAGATCATTTGCCTATTTATTAATTTGATATGCAGATTACCATTTCCAATTGCCATTTCCAATTCACAGTATACTTAAATACTTCAATGAATAGGAAAGCATATATACTTTCAGTCTATTAAAGAAATCCAGTGTCCATATTTAAAAGAAGGAAATTAGTGATTCTATTTATAAGGAGGCTTAAGTAGCAGTGACTTTTTGGTCAGAAGACATATGTGGCCTTTCAGAAGACTTTCTTTAAAAAGTCTTTGAATTGAGATTGAACATACAATGTGGGAACCTACAGGAAAAATCTTTACAATAAATCATTTCTGCTACTTTTTTTAAAAAAATGTGTTCTATTCTAAAGAAGGTTGCCTTATATAATCCAAAAACTGGGGTCAAGAATTTATAGTTCTTCCGATGGGATTGTCAGCCTTCAAGATTTTCTCTTTGCTTTGCATCTTTCGGCTGTCATAAGTAATGGGGGGGGGAGGGGGGATTTGGTTATGGGAAGTGAGCTGGAGGTGTTACAAACCAGAACTGTATAAGCTGACGGTGTAGATTCTTGCTTAGATTCTAAGCAAGAATCTATGCTATGCACAGCTGCAACCGTTTATCAAAATATGTCAAGGTCAACGGACAGAGGCCTCATCACCACCTGGAGATGCCCACATGATGATACACACAACTTTTAATTGGATGAGCCAATTGAACTATTGGGGGTGGGAACGTTGCCATTACTTTGTATATGTGATTTACACGCCCATTTTCTCAGATTCAGAATTCTTTTGTTGCTACCACTTGATTTCCAGTAAAAGATATCTTTTCTCTGATTAATGGAGTCTGTATTTCTTTCTTGGATTTTGAATGGAGCACCAGATGACAGGGATAATCTGCTATTGCTTTCTGATCTAACTATAGAAGAGACCTTTCAGAGCTAGTTGAAATATAAACTTGCTAAAATTGAAATTGTGTTTCTTCACTGTCAAACAATACAAAGTGAGAATCTAGTAACTTTGCTAAACTGGTTTAGGAGCAAATATTCCATTTTCCTGACAACACTGTGTTGGCAAGCAAGCTGTTTAATGCAATAACTAATTGTTCTTTAATTTTAATACAATTTCCCCATAACATCTGTAGATTTTGCCAAAGTGAATACAAATTGCTAATAATATATTGTTGGTGTAATCTTTGAGTCATATTGGGGTTTCTCATTGCTAAAGCATTCAATTTTTTAATAGTTCAAGCTGGTGAAAATTGATAATACTGCTTCAGTAAGAACCTTAAATTACAACAGTTTAACTCCACCTTCAAAGCAAGGGAAGCGCTGAGTTTTTACTCAGTCAACCTAGCCAATAGAAAGAGGTGCTGGGAAATTGTAGTTTGGCAAATGCTGGACAGCTGCAGGTAAAAAGGATTAGAATTCCAAAATTAACACTCCACAAGCACCCCATTGAAATAGGAAGGTCTGAGAGCATATCTGTAATTGCATGGTCATGGTTGTGATTTTTTAAATATAAATTGCATCTTTAATTTACAAATGAAAGAAAAGAAAACCCAACAACACTTGAACTATTTTAATTTTTTTTATTGTGGAACTGAGCTTATTTCCTTTACATCAAATATCCTCAATGGAAGAGGGGATATTGCACACAAATATCATAAAAGCACTACATATTACTTTCACTGGAAACTAATTTTCTACTTTAGATATGACTTGATAGGATAGAGGTGATGAAGGATTATAAGACATAAAACCATACACAGCTGCAGACTGACACAAACAAGACCATTCAGAACAAGAGAGAGGAGTGAGGTGCTTCTCAGCCACGACAAGACTTTCTCTCCATGGTTTGGAAGAATCAGATGGCTGCAGACCATCATGTGAAAGCATCCTGGATTTTTAGAACTGTGCTTTTTCTGGTGTGATTACAGCCCAGCCTTGTATGAATAGAACAGCCGCTCTGGGCAACTAGAGCTCCTAAACTAATTTAGTGCAGAGAAACAATTCCCCCCCAAATGTTCAAGGTTTTGATGCTGCTTTCTTATTTTGTTATTTTTATAAGATCACAACAAATATTTTTGTTTAAAAAATGAAGCAAACATCCTTAACAAGGCAAGCAATGCAGTTTCCAAATGTACATAAATAATTAGACCAATTTTTGTGGTTTCTTCTACTATCAAGGAGCACTTACAATTTTTTTTGGTAAGCTTAAATATAACATTTCCCCATTACTAATATTTCTAGACTACAAAAAAATTCTATTATCTCTGAGCTAGAACTTATGCATGGAGAAAAAGGCTATGGCCATTGCTCCACTAGTGAGTGTCTTAAGAATGTTTTCATAGCATCATTCACTTATCACTCAAGTGATGTAAAATCTGTCCTCATTATTGTTAACCTGGTACATCAATGTTGGGATGATTCTAGAAGATGCTTACTAGTGGAGAAAGGACCCATGATGTAGAAAATGCAGAATTAACTCCTTGTAGCAAAGCTGGAAGTTCTTGGAATGTTTTCCTTAACACCAACAGCTTCTTAGTTCTGTATTGCAAGGTTCCTAAACCGCTTAATCTATTGAAGACAGCTAAATATATTTGTATACACATTTGGATTCATTCACTACTGTATGTGAAGTCAAACACAAATTATGAAGAATTAAGATTAATTAAAAATGTCGTAGTTGCAGAAATTAGACCCACCATAGGAAAATGTAAAGGCATGCAAAAGATCTGTTTTAAGTTTGAATGTGACCTCAACTAAACTGCTGTCACTAAATTTTATTCAGTGGGAAAGTACTATCATAACAGCACAATGAGGGGAATGTTACCAATGATAAAATTTTCTGGAATGCATATAGCACTCTACTTTTGTTTCATTAATTAATATTGAATTATTAATTTAATTGATATTGAACCATGCCTCTAGTAACCTGTGCTGAGTAACAGAGCACAATAACAGTATTTATGGTACTTCAGATTGACTGTCACTATACTATGTAGGGCTGTGACTAACACAACTATTAGTTCCATTTAGTTTAGTCTAGAGGAGCTTCCTAAAACAACAGTAACAGAAATCCAGAATTGAGTGCCATTCAAATTCAGTCCTGATTGCCATTCAAAACCCTATGCCTGCTTGTTCAAAAACAATTGTTTATGAACTGTATAGCCTACTACTATAGCTTTATTCAGAAACTTAAAAAGAAAATATAGGCTTGGATCTAAAAGGCACATCAACTCATATGCAGGGCAAATGCCAATGTCATGCCCACTACATGTCCCTGTACTTTCAGAAGTATTCCTGAAATTTTCCTCAACTCTCAGGAGCAAGTTGCCAGAAAACAGAACATTAAAAAGAGTTCTAATGCTAGAATCAATGATGCAAAATGAGACCTTTGAAAAGTGATGCAAAATGGGACCTTTGAGAAAAGCTATACAAACTGGTACTTCCACTCCCCCCAAAACAAGAATTATTGGACTATAAATTATCAAACTTAGCAATTAGCATGCTGGCTGACAATGCTGGAAATTGTAATCCACTGATTTGAACTGCAGTAAAATAGGGAAGGCTGCATAAGAGAACATATATTCCCATAAAAATCAAGATTTGCCGAATTAGAATTCAATAGTTGGGAAGCATAAAGTAAAAAGGGAAGTTTACACACAGAAAAATCCCGATCAAACTAGATTTCTGATGCTATACTAAAATAATTACAAGAGGATCAATAATGTGCTTAAAGTGTGAAGGAGTGTCAAGGCCAAATTTGAACTCAATTAAGGTGGCAATCCTATATGTTTTTGGGGAATAAGTCCTACTGCACACAACAGAATTGATTTCTGATATGGCATACATTATTATCTGGCATGCTGATTTCAGACAATTGCTTCAACAGACCTATTGATGTACACATCTGCTATGTTTTCACTTTCTGGAGACAGCAAATTAATTTCCCTTTTGCACATTTAAATATATATTTAATATTGTTTATTGAGAATGAACTAAAAATAATCCTCACAGAAGTTCAGCTGAAAACAGACTGACAACCTCCATGATCTAGTCAGTTTTTTGTCTTATTGTTCACATTTTCTTTTCTTCTTCTTCTTTATTTTTTGGCAAGAAGAAAATTAAACATATGTATTTCTGCTGGGTAAATCCTTTAAATTTTGCTTAAAAACAGAAAATTGGGGGGAGGGAGTTCATAAAATTAATTCATCTTGAAGCAATAGTAAATGGAATATTACATTGTTATTTGGCAGAGCTGATTGCAATAGCTTGGCACCCACTCAGAATAAATAATCTAAGTCAATTTTTCCATATTAAGGAACTCTCCAGATGAATTTCTCCAGAATTCCCCAGCCAGCATGGTCACTGCTAAGAAACCCAGATATTTTCAAGGTAGCCAACTTGGATAAGTAAAAGGCAATAATTATGCTTACAGTGTTGCAGAGTAACAGCTTTGTCCAATAAACTCTTACATTTTAACCTTCTGTTAGTACTATCGGCCTGGGTTATCCAATGTGGATGAACATATGGTTAGGACTATATCACATTAGTGGATGATTATAGAATTGTATTAGAAATAGCAACCGTTGGGCTAAGAAAGGGGATGAGGTATGAGAGAATAACATTCAGGAAATATATTACATAACATGTAGTTATTTCTGTTTAATGGGTATTAGGACAATGTTTTCCCACTGCTGCATTTCCCAAAAGCAGCATTCACAATTAGGAATTCAGCTTTCCTGCTTCTTTCAAAAATACATTTTTCCCAAGCTTTTCATTCCACAATCATACCAGGTTTTTTTAAAAAGACTTGGAACCCAACCCATAGAGTTTCCATCTACACTGTTCCAAGAAAAATAAAGAGCTACAAGAACAGAAGTGTTTCTTGGCTAAAGGTAAAATAATAAATAAAATAGCATTGCTAGAATTATCAAACAAAAACAAAATATTAAAATTTTTAAATCCACAAAACATAAACAATATTTCACAGCATTAATTGGGCTACCCAGCCCAAATTAAAGAGGATCTAAAGTAATATTAAAATATATATAAAAATTAGCAAAATGAAACAAAAATAAACAATGCAACAATTAAAATAAATTATATAACATATAATAAGCAAAATGCTGTAGTTGTCCCATACTTAATGAAATCAAGAGCATTCTGAAAATATGGCTGGAATAAAACAATACAAATTCCTATTATAGACAGAATGAGATTGTGAAAATTCTGTACAGAGCTGCAAAGTAAAACATTAAGGATAATGGAGGTATTATTACAGGTAGTGATAAGATGTACTCTGGTCATGAAAATACGTTATACCAGCATGAGAAATATTATTATCAGAACTATGTCATCACACATTTTCTTATTTTTCTGACTTTTCATTTCCATCTATCTTACAATGAAATGTAGGCTTCCCGGTAGTAGGTGGTCTTGAACATTAAAAAAATAAGCAAGTACGTTTGCACTAGGCCAGGCACATGTAATTTGTTTGGATAAATGGAGTGGTGGCATGTTTGGGAAGATGAGAGAAGAACCAGAGAACCCTGCAACTCTAGAAGGTGCTGGAAGCAGCAGGGAGAAAGTAGTGTGGTTGCATACTGTTGTGGTATGCTAGCACCACCATTCAATTGGTGCTGCTACAAAGCCAAGTGGAACAATGTGTGACCAAACAACCCAAACTCAGTCACACATAAAATTGATTCCTGTAATCTGTAGAAATTATGCATACCTGAATAAGTTTTGCATACTTTGTTTTTCTGTGTGCTAATTGGAAAAGATGAGAAATATTAAATCCCATCTGGTTGTAAGAAATCCTGATCAGGCACTCTCCTTCCTGTAATTCTAGGAATTAGAAGCTTTGAAGTACCTGGGAGCTGAGGTTCTCATCAATTAAAATCTGTGATCAGGATTACATTTTCCATGTTTCTATGATTTCACAGAATCACATTATATACAGTATACCCTGTTCTGGTTTTACTTTGGGGAAGGATCCTTCAATTAATTTTACTTAAGACAGTGTAGGATAAAGGAATAGCTAGGAAAATTAAGTCAAGATCTCTGCTGCCCAACTAACACTGGAGGGTTTGACAGGTGTCTCACAGGACTGCTTGTAATGTCACAAAGCTGGTTTGATGCAACCCCTGCCCCCCCCCAGTCGTAAGCTGTGTTTATTGGTGCTGTGAAATAGTGCCATCACAAATGACTCCTTAGATTGCATAAAGCCATGGAATAACCCCCAATCCAAGCTGCCTGCTTAAAAGAAAGCCAACTTTCAGTCCTTAGTTCTTTGACCACTAACACATAATGATATTGCTAGTGTGCTCTCTGCAAGATAATCCTTGGCAGTAAACTACGTTCAATTAATATGGTACTGTTTTATCATACTTCATTCTCACCAGAACTCAAAATAACACTATGTGTTGTCTTACAAAACTACTAAAAATTAGCCTTCACCTGATTTTTTTTTCTGCATTTTCCTGTAAACAAAACATGTTTAAAAATTCATCTATTAAAAGTCTGTGCACAGTTTAAAAAATTCTGTACATTTGTCCCTATATTCACTCTTAAATTAACAGTCAAACTAATGTAAGACAAAAGAAAGCTTCAGAGACTGTACAGATGAGTAGACAACCTTTTTGTAACATCCCATATATTTTTGTTAATTTTGATTTTCTGGTACTGAACACCTCTTCTTCCATGCTTCCAGGAAGCAGGAAAAAAGAGAGGGGGAAAAAATAACTTCAAGCAAGGTTTGCTGTTCAGGTGCACCAATGAAGTGTTCAACTTACATACATAATTCATAGCACCAAGCTGTTTGACCAATCAGAGAGATTTCCAGTAGCACACGCATAGTTCCATATTGGTGTAACTATAATCCTACACAGATGTTTTATAAACTTGCTATCTTGCATTAAAAAATAAGTGCATCAAGTATCTTTGTACATTCAAGTCACTTTCTAAGGCAAATTGTCTACCATAGGAACTCCCAACTGCTTTGGTATTTTGCTTCAGTAAACTTGTCAGTGACCCAGGTGTTTTAGCATGCAAGTTTGTCAAATTTGAAAGAACTCTAAATTTTCGTTGGGAGCATGCCTTAGACCAACATGTCTGCATGGTAAACTGAATGGAATTCAAACTACATGCATATTTTGTCTAAGAGAACTGTGTTACGTGACAATGAAACACTGAATGGGAAGTTGCCAATAGTAAGTGTTTCCAATGCAATGTTCCTTCAAAAACCACATTCTGTTTCACTTAATATTCTAGCTAAGATGCCACTAAATTAAATATGCCTACTCTGGAAAAAAACAACACCCAAATCTTTCTTTCTCTAGGATGCTAGACTGCAGGAGGTAAGTCACTGACTGCTTTGTAACTAATGAGGAATTAATTATTTTATTCACCTCTACGCCATCCAACTTATCTTCCCCCTCCCCTCCTCTCTCTCCACCTTTTTTCTCTCTGTTTCTTCCAAGGGCAAAGGCCCCCAACCTGGCATAAGTCAGCAGTGTTTGCTAGTGCATGGTTTCCTAGTGTTCAATGAAGATGAACCTGAATCTGCAGGTTTTGCAGTAATTTGAACCCTATGGTGGGAATACTGTTATTTCCCTTAGCAATTAGCAAAGACTGGAAAAAAAAATAGTGACTTGCATCACTCTGATACAGTATATAGCATTTGGCAGGTATATATAGTTCAGCAGCTGAATTAGATGGATTATATTTTTAGAAAAAGTATTTTCAAATTCAAGAATTTCTGGAAACAAAGTTTAAAGTTGAAATGCATTGCTTTTTTTTTTTTTACAGTTCAATCTTGCATGCAGGGAAAGATTCATCTTGCATAACAACAGTGCTACTGCTTGCCAAAACCATGATGTTAAGATCCTGTTGTTTCTCGTGGGTCTCTTGGTACCATTCCCTCATCACTTCTGAATCATGCGTTGGGATTAATGTCACCTGTCATACAAAGAGCACATTAGAGGAGAAAGTACAAAAGGAAGACCAATCAGAAATCTCACTACAGTCCTGACACTCCGTGGATGTGCACAACCTTGGAATGGAAAATTGTTTGCCGTGGGATGGTTCAGTAATTTCTGACAGTGGTTTTACCTCCCCTACAACATCATATCAGTAAGAAACAGAACATTCTGAAATTCTCTAAAACATGAAATTCTCAAACGGGGAGTTTTGTAAAGCCCTGTGAACCAATCAACTAGTATGTCTTAAGCACTGCCAACCAACTAGTAGGTCTACTTGTGCATAATCTTACCAAATTTGGCATCTTTTAGATGTATTGGAATTATAATCATAATATTCTCAGACCATCCCCTACATCTGGAGAATGGCCAATTGGGAAAGCTTAATCATCAGAAGGAATAACTAGATATAGGAAGACAATTAGTTGTTACTAGACAATCGGTGACCCATTGGATGACCCTTTCAGAGATATTTCCTAACCGGATTCTTCAATGTCTTCAACAGTGACAGCATTTATATTATATTATATTATGTTATGTTATGTTATGTTACGTTATGTTATATTATATATTATATTATTTATATTATACTGCCTTCACTGAAAAAGCTGGGATACATTCAGAAGTGTATCTGCTTTGAAAATAGCCCATGTTGAACTATACAGCACAGTCAAACATTGGCACAGGAAATGTTGAGTGACATATTGTGGCACCACTATCCTTATTATATCCTGAGAAATACTACTGAGAATATATTGCATCTATTATTTATGTACTTTCTATATTTTTATAACACAGTATTCCACAAATACAACAATCCTTAGATAAGTTTTTCACTTTAGTAGTTTTCAAAATTTCAAAACTCTGTTAGGTAATTGCTACCATATTTGTGTGATTGAATTTTTTTATTATTTTAGAAATGTGAAAGCCTCTTTTCTATAATTGGATCCTTCCTTGCAAAGTATCTGAGGCACAGAAAAATATTTGGGGAAGTATGCAACTAAGTAGATTTTTAACATATGTATTGTATTTATATTGCATTTGGATTCATGTTAGCCAGCCAGAACCACTCTGGTAAGATGGGTGGTTATATACATAGATGTAAATAAATGTAAAAAGTGCAAGAAGTATTTTTAAAGAGAAAAGTTTTTTGCATATGGTCTTAGAAGTTAGCTTTTTATACACTATGTCATTAAGCAGTGGAAATAAATTAATTATGCACACATAGAAACAAAATTTGATAAAATGTAAGTCCTTTTCTTCCATGTGAGAAAAGCAACATAAACATTATTCCTCCACACCATGATGCCCTCCAGATGGACTAGATCTGTTATTTCCAAACAAGTTTATATTTCAACATAGCCAGTAGAATGTGCACAATGGAAAAGATCAACACAACCTTTTTTCCCTTAATTCTCAAAAGGAGGGTTTTTTTTTCCTCTTTAAGTTATTTATTTTTAGTAAGATTATTTCTATGCCTGAAAGAGGGTGTTGTATTAGCAGAGTTGTCAAAAATAGTAATGAGAAGGCAAGACATACAACAACCCTGCTGCACTTACATACAACTGTAGGCCCAATTGCTAAGATTTCTCTAGGCTTATGTTCAATCTCTCAGCTGGGCTATCAAAATAATTCAGAGCAAGTAGTGAACAACAGAATATAGTAATTTACTTATAATTCTCTTAAAATTCCTGGGTTCATATTATAGTGATTTGATGTTGATTCACTGATTTTCAGAGAGTTACTTCCATATCTATACAGCTTTATTTTTTTACAGGTCTATCTTTATTTCTTTTTAAAACAGTTAACTAAGAAATCATACTGGTGCTTTCCTTTCTGAAGTCCTGCCAGCAACAAACTGGCTAAGTGGGAGTAGAAAGTAGTGTTCACTACTTTGCTTTCTTGATTCTGCCCTTCAATTGAAAAGAAATATTTTTATTTCCTTCCATGGGAGTAAATCCATAAAGATCCATTTTTAAACATTGGGACTCATGATGAAAAGTTAGCAGTGCTGAGGATCATTTGGATTTTCATTGATCCCATTCTGCTCTAAGCACCAACCAATCTGATTGCAAAAGCAATCAAAGGAGAGATCCAAAATTTTATTTATTTATTATTTTCTTTATTTATCAACTTTATTTGCCACCTATCTTGTAGTTTTCATTCTTCATAGCTGAAATTCAACTTAGGGGAGTGGAAAAAGACAAATATTCCTTTTGCTCCAGGAAGTACTGTCTCTATGATCATAGTATTACATACAGAATACATGATTAATCCATTATAAATTATGCAATCAACTCTCCTGAGTAAAAAGACAACTGTTGAAGATCTAGAGGTAACACTTTTCTTATTTTGTATTTTAAACAAAAGTAAGTTCTTCCCCTTTAGGTTTTGTTACTGAACTCAGATAACTAAAAGATGATTCTTAGCATCTTATTTTTAATGGGTTTTCCTTTGCTTCATAGATTCTGGAGAACGTACCTGCATATTGCTTCCCCACTGAGCTTTGCCTTCCAACAGGGAATCCAAGACAGCCCTGCTTGGTTCTTCAGCAGCAGGATCATTCCCACTCACAACATAATAGGATGATCTCACCCTCTTGAAAAATTCTATATCAACATTCTTGCTATTGCTGTGGTTGGGGATATAGACCAGGTCCAAATACATAGGAGGTCCTGGAGGCACAGCTATAGATTTTGTTGGTTTCCCATTTCCAGGTCCTAAAAGATAATACAAAAATAAGAGTCCTGTCTCAGCTTGCAGTAATAAACATTGCCTACTAATGATAAACTCAAGTTGGACAGACTGACACATCAAGCTCCAGCTGTGATGTTCATGGTTTTGAATTATCCTGTGTAATTTTAAGCAGTTGATAAAATCAGATAATTGTACCATAAAAATGTACTTAGTGAACAGAACAAGATATGTACAGAAAGAAGAAGCTGTTAACCATGTGTGTATCTATGCATACATGCCTGTTTGTTTTATTTATATGCATTTATTTATATGCATTCATTTGATTTTATTTATATTCATTTTTTTTGGTACAGGAACACAAAGCAGCATACCTAGTACTCCTTTCACCTATTTTCTCCCCACAACAACTGTGAAAGAAATTGGGCTGAGAAGAGAATGACTGGCCCAAAGCCATCCAGTGTGCTTTCTTGGCTAAGGGGGACCATAATACATCCCTATATCCACAAACACATAGCTTCCCTGTTCATAGTCCAGTACCTGAAGTACTATACCACATGGGTTTTGAATATCACTTATTACAAGAAGCATGAAATATAAGAGATTTGGGAGCACAAGAATTAAGAGACTGAAACTTGACTTCCAGTTTCCTTGGAAAAATCATATTGAAATAATCTTCTCCTGCCCATGGCCAAGATACTTTTTAAAACATTCCTATTCTAGCCTATAGTCTAATATTTCTTGGGAATAACTTACCCAATTATTAATTATGTCTGACCTTTTTTCAGATCAGTCAAAGTTGTCTAACTGCTGTCACCTTGCTGGGACAGGCACAAAATGTTAGTGTATGTTAATCAAAAATGAAAAGAAAGAACTCAGTCTTAGAAGGCCAACATCGGGTAAAGAAATGGCAGCTACAGAATGATTTCACATTGTTGGGTAAATAATAATAATAATAATAATAATAATAATAATAATAATAATAATAATAATAATAATAATAATAATAATAGTCCAAAATAACTAGAGCATTGACAAAAATCATGATCAGTCAATTGCAAAAGGCAGCTTACTTAGATCCATTTACTATTCTGTGATAATACCTATGATGATACAAACTTCAAACAACATCTGCCTATCCCTTTTGGAAGAACTTGATAGATGATAAAAATGTCAAACCCAGTCTAAATATTTGGCTGACTGTCGACAAAGTATAATGAAGAAGATTCATTACCAGAAATAAAATATTCAAGGAAGCAGAACTGAATTCAGTTCTGAAAATTCGTGAAAATGAGAGATCCCCAAAAAAGTACAACAGTCAAAGAAACTCAATAATAATAATTGGAAATATAAAGGAATAATTGATAGAAACTACATGAATGATAACTTATCAACAGTAGAACTAGAACAGGCTAATATTGAAACAACCTATGAATTCACCCCTAAAAAAGAAGAATTAAAAGAGATTCTGTCACTAGTCTGGACTGTTTATAAAATGAAGTTTGGTTTATACCACCTAATTGGATTGTCATGTCTGGAAACAAACAATGTCAGTAAAAACATTAGAATGTTTAAAGAAAAAATAACGCAGAAGACGACAAAATTGTGAAATGGTGGTTGGAAATGAACAATATGAGCTTATCAACCTTAGGAGATATGTTTTCCATTATTACCTTTATTTGTCATTGTCATGATCCCTCTTTCAATGGTTTTGAAGAAAACAAATCTTGGTTATTAAAAAGCAAAAAAAAATCCTAATTAAATATTATATTTGTTTTATATGAATGACAAAGCTTTATAGAATTTTTAGCACATTATATGGCAATAAAATTTTGCTTAGAAAAGTCTCATGCAGTAGCAATAAAGTGGGGGGTAAAATCACAAACAGTACCGTAATAGAATTAAAATGCTGAATGACCAAACCACCAGGAACCATCAGAATAAAGCCTACAAGTATCTGGAAAATTTACAGTTGGATAGCATCAAGTATGAGCACATTAAAAATGTGATTAAGTAAGGAATATATCCAAAGAGTGAAAAGAAATGCTAAATAGAAAATTGAATGGTCAAAACAATATCAAAGTCAGTACCTAGGCTATATCTGTAATACGATATGCTGAAATTATTAACTGAACAAAAGCTAAACTGGACAGTTTAGAATGAAAAATAAGAAAAGAGATGACTATTCCCTATTCACTAACTGATTAAGTACAATGTGTGTACAACAGCAATGTGTAGGTTAACATTTTGTTGGAATTCGAAAATAAACTGATAGAAATCTTGGCTCACCAAATTCTTGACCCTAACACAGCAGATATAATTGAGGTTAAAAGAAGAAAGTATCGATGATTGATGTGGCAATACTAGGGGATAATAGAATAGAACACAAAGAATGGAGAAGAATATAAAATATCCAGACCTGAAAATCAAAACTGAAACATTATGGCATAAGCCAGCTGTCGTGCTTCCAGTGGTTATGAGCACTCTGGGTGCCATACCAAAAAATCCTGCATGGCACTTTGAAAATCTGTGCATTAACAAATTTTCCATCTGTCAATTACAAAAGATCACACTGCTTGAATCCTCATTTATACTACACCAACGCATTATGACATCTTAGGTTTTTCGGTAAAACTCAATGCATATAAACAGCAAAACCAGCTTAAAAAATTGCAACTGTGATTCCATATACCCTGTTTCTCCAACAATACGGCCTCCCCCAATACGAAGTCCCAGCATGTTTTATAGGCATGAAATGAGATTAAGCCCCTCCCCCCAAATTAAGGCCTATAGTAAAACATGCGAAATAGGGGGGGAAATGGTGGTGGGGGCTTGCCGTTAGGAAGCACTTTTGTTGCACACCCGGATATGGTGCTGCCTGCGTTGACCCCGATACAAAGTGCCCCACCAACGCTGAGGCCAACATCCAAGCCGTCGCCACACGCCCGCCCGAAGATGCAAGGGGGAATTAAGTCACCCCCGAAAAGATGGCCTAGCCACTTTTTCGAGGCTCAAAAAAAAAAAATAAGACCCGGCCTTATTATATGAGAAACGTGGTAGTTGTGAACAGATAATAAGAATTTATTGTGATTTCACATGGTTCTATATGTAATAATAATGTATTAAACTTATACGCTACTCAACTCTCAATGACTCTGGGCAGCTGACATTTCTTTCTAATATTATGATTTCAAATTCTAGTGAACCCCATGATGGTTACAGGCTGTATAGCCTTCCCCAACTCAGCAGTATTGAAAAGTGTTAACTTTCTTTAACATTTAAACATAAATTGTACCATCAATTGTACCTTCCCCAACTCAGCAGTATTGAAAAGTGTTAACTTTCTTTAACATTTAAACATAAATTGTACCATCAATTTAGTTAGTAGAGAGTAACACAATGCTCAGTGGCTATTTTTAAACTAAGTATCTGACCACAGTATATTAAGAGCAGTATTCTCCTTCTGTTAAGAAGTAAGAAAATTGTCCATCATTTTAACCATTTAAGGCTATTTTCCAATGTTGTTGGATCTAGATAGACACTGAATTGTTCTGACTTCTAAACACAGGTTTAATTTTTTCTAGCAATCACTGACAGAAATATCATTTCTTAATGCATCAATTTTTCATTTGCTTTCTCAAATACTAATGATAACTATAAACTAATACTAGCATAATCAATGATGTATTAGCTTCCAATTCCTTAACTTGGATTTGTCTGACTAGGAAATATGGGTTTTAAAATCCAAAATATCTTGAAATGAACAGGATAGGAACATCAATTTGAATAGCTACCATTCAGCAAAGTTCAAAAATGTATTTCCATACAATTTTCCTGTAACAGATTATGTTTATTTATATTCCATCTAATCCCAATTTGAAGCACAATTTTTCCAAGAAGGAATAATGTATGAGCCATTATGACAAACTTTAATGCCTTGTTTAAAAATTCTAAGAGTTGTGAGGGGTGTAAAATGATCTGAATATTTAAGTTCTAAAATTCATTCTGACTTTCTAGTTCAGAGGTGTCAAACTCACAGTGTCACATTGCTGACACATGATGTATTGTAACATTTTTTTTCCCTTCACAGAGCTGGGGTGGGCATGGCCTGCAAGTGACACATCTGGCCCATTGGCTGCCAGTTTGACACCCCTGTTTGAGTCCTTTTTGGTAACATGAAAAACTGCATTCTACAATTATTTTGATTTGACTAGGGAACCTTCTTGATGGACATTTCTATTTTTCTTTCAAACTATGTTTCTCATGAAAAATGTAAGTTTGTTTTTGCTTCTTTTTATTCCTCCCTCCACTTTTGAAAAAGGTTTCATGAAAAATCACAGCAAAAAGATTTTTCTACATCCCAACTGCCATCTTTAAATTGAACTGGACTGGAATGTGTACTCATCGATTCTTAAAAATGCTATTTAAACCTGCCAGCTGTTATTTTATATATGGATAATTGAACTAGTGTTAGTTAGTTTATTTATTTCAGACTTGTTAACCTGAATGATTTTGGTATGATTCAACTTTGGTGGAAAAACACTGGTTTTTTTTAATGAACATTTATCTTTGTCTACCTGTGTTTCTAAACAGTATTTGAGAATAGTATGGTCCTGTGCAAGACAAAACAAAACTCCCACAGTAAACATTTTACCACAGCTGGCAGGTTTAAATACAGCTACAGAAAAATATCCCTACATTCTCTTTAGTAATTTAGTTACACCAGAGCTATCAGTGAAGTCTGAGGATTTTGACTACTGCAATAGCTTGAAGGAAACCGATATATGAGATTAACTTTACAATTTATCTCACCTGAAGTTGTAGTTTTTGCTGACTTTGATGTTGTAGAATTGGCTGCATTCTTAGTTTCCTTATCTTTCTCTTCATTATGAGATGATTTTATTTCTGGAGTAGAGATATTTTTGGCAGCTTTTTCCACAGACTCCTTCTTCTTTGGAGAAGCTGTTCTGGAAACTTTATCTAGTGATTCTTTCAAGCCAGCAGGCTTTGGAGAGGCCACTTGCTTAGGTTTGCTATCACTCTTCTTGGCAGGAGAAGAAGACTTGGTTTTAGTCCCCTGCTTTTTTGTTTTTGTTTTTTCTTTCAGATCCTTTTTCAAAGGCTTCCCTAGGTTCTGGTCAATGGGTAATGTCTCTGGATCTACCATGGAGACATCTGGGTGCCTAGGTGAAGGGCTGCGATCTTGAACAGGGACTGGGGGTGGGTCAATATGTTCATATGTAATAGTTTTATCTGTCGGTATCGTTTCAGATTCATCTTCTGAGTCAATGTTAGCATCTGCTGTAATGGAAGGGCACTCTTCGGTCTCAGGGGGTACATCTGAGTCGGTCTGTGATGGAGCAGATTCACTCACAGAAGTTGGGGGTGTTTCACCACACAGGCGAGTTTGCTGTTTTCCTCCCGAGGGTGGTGGAGCACCTCCAGACTGAATTAACAGCTTTTCTTGGTCTTGAGATTGTTCCTCAGTTGCAAACCACTCTAAAGGGTTGGGATTTATAAAAGAAGGTGACAGTTCTGTTTTGGGATGCTTGTATTCACAGGATGAGACAAGACATAAATCAACATCTTGGCGGATTTCAGATTTTTCTGAAACAAAGTATTTGTCATTCTCATAGCGATAACTTGAAATGTCAGGTGATTTGGTAGCTTTCTCTGCGTACTCAAAAGGATAATGGACAGAGTCCGACGGTTTTGTGGATTTTTCGTAAGAATAATCAAGGGCTTCTGGTGACTTGGTGGGTTTTTCTGTTGTTTCATAAGAATAACTATCTGTTTCTATTGATCTGGTGATTTCCTTTGTTGTAGCATACTTGTAATCAAAAGTTTCAGGGGATTCAGTGACTTCCTCTGTTTTTTCATAGGAATAACTAATAGTCTCAGGTGACCTAGTGGTTCTTCCACTTTCCTTATAGGAGTAAATAAGTGGTTCTGGTGATATGGATGTTTCTTCGGTATCTTCCTGATCCTTAGATACTAAAAGCTCTTGGCCATGTTTTATCTCAGGATCTTGAACTACTGATGTATGATAGCCAAACAATTTGTCTGGGGATACATGCAGCGATAATAGAGATGACTGAGAAGCAGCCATTGTTTCTTTCATTATGGGTGGTGAATCTGAAAAACTAGGTGAATATAAAGGAGAAGATTCCCGTGGTGTCAATGAAGATAAATCAGACTTTGGTGAGAGTTTCTCTCCCAAGCTTTGCATTTTGTCTGATGGAAATGTAGAATGTAATGGCATATCACTAGACTGTGTAACAGCTGATAAGATTTCTTCTTGCAGGGGAGAACTTGCCTGTGAAGGTGTATGGACAGAGGAAGTAGAAGGTGAAGGTGAAGCCTCTATCTGAGAAACTGAAATAATTTCTGAAATATCCTTCTCATGACTAAAACATACTTGTTCCACTGGTGATATTTTATTTGGAAATTCATGTTCCTGCATGTCTAAAGGGCTAAAATCAACTTCAGTGGGACCATTTTCAGATATATGGTGCACACCAGCACCTACTATGGGTTGCTCAGGTGACTGTCTGCTAAAATCCATGGCCAAAGACTGTTCAGGTGAATCTTGTCCAAATTCTACTGACATAGTCAATTGTTCAGGAGATCTATGATCTAGTATTGGTGTTCTTGACTTTGCTGTTTTAGGAGAAAAGTCTGGTGGAGAAATAGACATTGGTCTTGGACATTCTTCTTTAGATGGAGACATTTCTGTTTCTTGAAATGTAGTTGGTGTTTGTACAACAGACACAGAAAGAGAATCATCAACTTCGGTAGAGTGAGGAGATCCAACCTCAGCATGTAACGAAGGAGATACATCATCAGTGGTCGGTTCTGGGAATGAACTAGTAGCAACAGATGCTGTGGAAACAGATGCAACTCCTTCAATATGTGAATAAGTATCTTCTGCTACAACTTCATCTACAGGAGTTGCAGATTTATCAGAGACGGTACTTTCAGATATTGACATTTTAGTGTCCTCTTTGAAATAGCCTAAATGACTAATATCCACTTGAGTAGGAGAAACCTCTGCCAGCTTCCTCTCATCCAAAACTAATGCAGATTGAATTTCTGAAGTTTCTAAATCATCCCTTTTCTTTTCTAGAAGACTGTCTGATTTTGCAGTTGTTAGCTCCAAATCGTTTTCATCCTGCTGGAAAATATTTGTCGAAGTAACTTCAGAAACAGAGCTCTTCTGCAACATGGAATCATCTGTTTCACTATTCTTTTCAAAGGCAATTTCAGTTTCTTTGAGAGATTTTATATCAGCACTTAAAAATGTGTCATAAGAAGATTCTGTACCAATAAGTGGTGGACTTCGTAAAGGTGAAAGCACTTTCTCAAAAGGCGACTCAGAATCAGGCACTGGTTCATCCATTGGGCTTATTCTGTGTTTTGCAACATTGTCTTTGGCATCACTAACTTCAACACTGATTGGTACCTCAATTGTCTTTCCAGGAATCTCAGTTGGAAGTTGACTTGACTTTTCATCAGTGGGAGACTGATAATAAGGAGTGTGACCAGCACTTCCAGCAGCTGATTGTGAAGGGGATACCACTTCTAATGTTTTATCATCAGGGCTGGGACACTGCTCTTCCTGGGTTTCATGATGTTTTTCTGGCAGTGTTGAGAGAGATACAGGCTCAGTTGATGTTTTGATCTCATTAGGAGTTAGGGAAAAGTTCACACTACGTTCACTAAGAGGTGTTTTAGCAACTGGTGATAGTGGGGCTGGACTTTCATCTGTAGTTGGGCTAACCTTCTCATCCCAAGTTTCTGAAATTTCTAATTTATTAATAGTTTTGAATTCATTTTCCCGAAGATGATACAGATCCTGGAAGGTTTTGTTAAATTTATCTTCCTCCAACGAGGAAGGTGGTGAAATGGTAGAAGCTGAAACGTTATAGTCTTTGCCTTCAGTTGCATCTGTTTTTGATCCTTCAGATAATCCATTAAAAGCATCAGGAAGAGCAGCAACTTTAGGTCTAGCAAAATCTTGAGAATACAGTGCTGATTCATACTTAGTGATGTTAACATATTCTTGGGAAGGAGATTCACTTTCTTCATTATTAGTTTCATCACTCATTACATCTCGTGGAGTTGACATTCCATCCATTGGAGTTGGTTCACTCGATATTTCAATAATGGACTGGGTATAACCTGAAGTAGCAGTGAACTCCTCCGGCTGGTCTTCTCTGTTTTCTTCATCTGAAACAGTTGCTTCACTTTCTGACCCACCAGGTAGAGTTTCATCATGGATTGAAGAGGCTGGTTCCTTTGCCGGAGATGAAGATTCTGACAATTTAGTTGGAGTAGTTATAGGCAAACCATATTTATCATCTATTTCAGCAGCTTCAGCTGCTTTGTCTACTACAGCCATGACATAATCTCCTTCAGCTTGTATTTTTTCAGTTTCCTCTTCATCTTTGACCTCCTCAGTTTTGTCTTCTTCAATTTCTTCTTCAGTGTCCTCCATTTCTGCCTTTTCAACTGCTGTTTCCTCTAAATGTGCCTCATAGTGATCCTCATACTCCATTCTAAATTCTGCTTTTTTATCATACATTAACCCTTTCATTTTTTCATTTTCAGGGGCTTCTATCATTTCTTTTTCAATCTCCTCTGTTTCAATGACATCCTTTATGCCTTGCTTTTTGAAACCTGTTGGCACTTCTTCATTGTCCCCTTGTACTTCTGCCTCCTCGGTTTCAGCCTTTTCTTCATAGTCACCTGCCTCAGAAGATTCTTCAAATCCTAATCCTTCCTCTTCAAATTTTTCACTGTCATCAACCTTGTCCTTTCCCACAGACTCCAGCTCTTCGGGAGTTTGTTCACATTCTCCCTCAGGTTCTACAGCGGTGATATCTTCATCAGGAGAATGAGTTGGGCCTTCTATTTTTTCTTTTTGAACTGTATAATCTTCCTTTTGTTCTATATCAGATAGCTGGCTTTCATTTTTAACTTTATCTTCCTGTGTTTCTTTCACTACTTCAACTTCTTCCGCTTTTAATTCTTCAAAATCTTTTGTTAAGTCTTCTGGTGAGGACATAAGTGACCTCTCGACTTCAAGTTCTTTCCCACTGGCTGCTAGGCTTACAGCTGCTACTGTTGCAGCCCCAGCTCCCAAAACAGTCACTGCTGCAGCTGATTTTTCAGCCACTTTGAGTTCTTTCTTCACTGGCTTGCTTTTAACTTTTTCTTTGGGTTTCCCAGCAAGTCCGCTTTCTTTTTTGACGGGTTCTTCCTTTTTCTGTGGTTTTGACTTTGCCGTAATCTTCTTTGATTCAGGCAAAGTAGCAGAGGTTTTCTTTATTTCCTTAGGAACCTTCTTGATTTCTTTCTTTTCTTCCTTTTTTACTTCCTTTTTCTCTTCTTTTTTGGATTCTTTTGGAGCAGCTTCTTTCTTTGGCTCTTTTTTAGATTCTTTCTTTATTTCTTTCTTCAAATCATCCTTTTTAGGCTTTTCCTCTTTCCTGGCCTGGGATTTTTCATCCTTCTTAGGCACCTCTTTCTTTAACTTTTCTTTCTCCTCTTGTTTTTCTTCTGGTTTTACTTTCACTTCCTTTTTCACATGCTTCTCCTTTATTACTTTTGGTTTCACATCAGTGGCTTGTTTTTCAACAGTTTCAGATTTCACAATTTGTTGCTCCTTTGCTGTTAGGTCCTTTTCAGTCACAGAAAGCCTACTTTCACTTTTTGCTGGTTTTTCCTTTTTTATGATGGGTTTTTCTGCTTTTTGAGCCTTTTCTGGTGGGCTAGATTTCCCAGTGTCAGAGGCCTCCTCTCTTGATTCTTTTCTGACAGTCTTTGTAGACAGCGTTTTAGTGATTGGCTTGAGACTTTCTTTACTGTCTGTTCTCTGCTTCAGTTTTGTCTGCTTAACTGCTGGACTTGTCAGGTTACCACTTAAGTCTTTTTGTGTCACTACTGGTTGTTTAAGGAAGTCCAAATGTTTGAGCTTCTCTAGGCCATCTAATATGCTATACTGTGTACTGTTCCCTGGGAAAAGAACTCTGATTATTTTTTCAGCAGGGTTTGCAGGATGCCATACAATCAATGATGAGATTGAAGTTAGGTAGGAAACTGGGATGTCTATTTCTTGACCATTTGGTAATACTAGTTCAGTTTTATCTTTGTTCGTACCTGTCCACTGCTGCATAAAATATTGCATTTCTTTGCTGTTTTTGACTGGGTTAAGCACATACATTTCCAGTTTCCCTACACCCATTTTTTGAAAAAGGATAATGGGTTCAGTGTTGTTTCCTATATTTCTGAAGAGAGGTTCCGGTTTCATGGATAGCTTGTTTAAGTATTGCAACGTAAAACAAGCTTCTTCTACACTTCTTTTTAATTGCAAATTAGGATCAGGGTTTCCTAGGCTTTCAGGAACATTAAGAAATACAACTCCCAAATCAGGTGAAATTAGATTTTTCATCCAGTCGCTATTGGTAGTTGAGCCTTGAGACTGCTCCTCTTCCAATTCTGCTATTTTCCGTTGCAACATGCTGTTAATTCCTGGCAAATTATCATCTCCAATGTGAGTGAGCAAAATTGAATCTACTCTATCCAAATGTCTGATGAGTTTCCAGAAACAAGATTTTCTCTCTGATCCTCCATTGATAAGCATGTTGAACCCATTCACAGCAAACAGTGCTGAATCTCCTCTTCCACCTGGGAAAATGTAACAACAAGGCTTAGAAAGTTTCAAAAAGCCTCCTGATGTTGGTGGCTCCAAAATATCAAATGGTGATGGTACTTCCACTGATTCTGACAAGTATTCTGTGAATTCAGAAAGCCCTTCCATTTCAGGCAAAATAGAAGAAGAATTCAGCTTAATGTTGATGAAATCTTGAAGGTTGTGTCTGTCAAGATTTGAATTCTTCCAGTCCCCTTCCTCAGGACAGAAAAGTGTTAAGCTGGCTTTGTTGGCAGGGTGAGTAGTGCTTAATAATTCTCCAATCTGAAATTGAAAAAAACCAAGCAGAAATATGATATGACTGTACACACTTCATATTTATGTCTCAAAATTAAATGAGATTCAGTTAGAAAGTGGATGTGCTTCCTGAAAATTTTGCCTTTGGCCCCTGTAATTGATTTCAGTGTTCTAGTACAAAGCAAAGTAATTATGCTAGTCTAACGTCTTCTTTTCTCTAATATACACTGTTATCTGCCAGGAAAAAAATAGCAATTATATACAGGCTCAGTGCCAAGGCATTTCCATATTAAGGAAAGTTTCTTTTATTTCAAAAGTATTTATATTCCATCATGGTTTTAGCCATGGATATATCTCAGCTGTGTTTGCTGACTTCCTAGAAAGATTGAGCCAATTTAATTTTATTATTTTAGACTTGAATAGTAACATTATCTACATTCAAAGAGCAAAGTAATTATATCTATGAAGAAGGCAGATATACTAGAATATACAGATGTAAAAGATCTGGTTTAAAAAAGAAAACCTGCTTCTAGGTTTGTCTAGGTTTGTTTAGTAAACAAACTTGGCTTCTGATTTCAGTATATATTCATAAAGTATTTGGTTTCTGATTTGAATATATACTCATAATGCAGAGAAGCCTTCATGTGACTTCATTTTTTAATAACTTTCACCTGATACATTGCTTTCTGTTTTCGAGAAAGATGGTTAAAATGGCTATATATTTCAGCAACAGAGAATATTAGGGGGAGGCGGGAAGATTTTCTTGCTAAGCAGGATTCAGGTGCAGCCCTGGGATAGAAACAACATTGGTCAGCCTAGAGTTACCTTTCTGAGACACTGAATGTGGAAATTCACTTTCTTGGGTCTATGAGGCATCTATCAACGATGTCCAATACTATAAAACATGGCATCTTGCTGGACCATCAACAAAGGTTGTAAGATTGCACCATGCTTTGGTGTCTGGCTCTTGCCTCAAAGGGCAGCTGCAATCTGTAGGGGAGCAGTCTTCAAACCTATGATTACTACAGTGTGAGGTGCTCTGTTTAATATATCTATGAAACTGTTTGTTCATTTGGGGTAGGATGTTATCATGCTGATAATATTCATGTATTCACTGTCATTCCTGCTTACACCTTGGCTATCATATAAAGCCTTAGCAAGTGTCTGGAGACTGTTAAGTTTAACATTAAATCCCTACAAGAACAAGTTCCTAAACATCAATATATCTGTGAACATCAGTCACCATGATACCTTATATGGGATCATGTGCTCCCCAAAGGAATTGCTTCATGACCTATGGGTTCTTTTGGATCTAAAGCTATCACTTAAACAGTAGGTAGAAGCAATAGGCAGCTGGACCATCAATTGACACACACCCTATGCCAAGATATTCTGGTGATGGTAACTTGTTCTGTGATCCACATATAGGTAGATTAATGTAATGCATTCCATGTGGGACAGCCTTTGAAAATGTCCCAGAAACTGTAGGTGATCCTGAATAAGGATGCTAGATTACAGGTAGAACAGCCCTGCCACTGCCATGCAACACTGATTTTGAATTTGCTAGAAAGGCTATCAGTATTAACTTCCTAGCCGATTAAAACTGTTCATTAACCCTTCAAAGCCCTATGGCATTATTTTTCAAGGGCTGACTCTGCCCAGCCAATAAGAATATCTCAAAAGACTTTATTGAGATTCATATAATACGCTCCTTCTTGGCATTCTGCAAGGCAACTAAAACAAATTTATTCCATCAAGCTTTGAATTAAGGTGATTGTTTAGTGACATTAATATTGGAATGTATTGTTACTTACAAATAGTCTTTAAGTTACTAGGCAATTGGCACGAGAATTTCTGTTGCTATGCAATGCAGTTGTAAAGCACAATGTCATGTGACTTCATTGCTCAGCCATGGCAATTCTTGCAGTCCCCATTATCATTGTTAAGTGGGGAATCATAGGTCATTAAGCAAGCACCTTCTTGCAACTTCCTGATGGATTCCAATCACCAAAGTCAGTGGGGAAGCCATCAAGAAGTTGTAAATCCCAGGGCAGCTCACAAGCTGACAGGCAGGTAAAGAGAGCGTGCGAGAGAATGTACAAAGAAGTGTGGGTGTCTGGGAAGATACAAAGAGTGTGAAACTTGGGGATGGTGTGCAAGGGTGCATGAGCGGCCAGAGAGAGTGTACAAGTGGCCAAGGAGGTGAGTGTGCAGGTGGCAGGGAGGCACAGTGAAAGCATGGTGGGGATTGAGTTGGCTGCTGCTGGGTGAAAGAACATATGCAAGTAGTAAGGGAGGAAGGGCTAAGCTCAATTAGGTTGAGGAAGGATGTTCAAGTGGCCAGGAAAGGATGTGTGAATCATTGGAGAGACACCACACAAGCACAGTGAGACTTGGGGATGGTGTGCAAGGTGGTGCAGGTGGCCAGCGAGGAATGGCACAAGCAAAGGAGGACTGGAGGTGGTTCTTCAGACAGGGGAATTTTACTTGAGCAACTTGAGACCTTCCCTGCTGGCTTTCTGACTGACTTCATTTGTATGAAGCTGCAGGAAAGTTGCAAATCACAATCATGTGATTGTGTGATGCTGTAACCATCATATGTGCAAGCTGATTGCCAAGTGCCCTGATCATGGTCACGTGATCACAGGGAGCCTGGAAAAGCCAGAAGAGCCAGTTTGGAACCAGGGGTGGGATTCAAATTTTCAACAACCGGTTCTGTGGGCATGGCTTGGTAGTCATGTGACTGGGTGGACATGGCTTGGTGGTTATGTTATTGGGTGGGCGTGGCCAACTCAATATCACTCACATCGAGGCACGCATCTCCTCGCCTGGCCTCTCATGACTGTGGGGATGTTGCAACAGTCATGTGAAAAATGGTCAAAAGTCACTTTTTCCAGTGCCATTGTAACTTTGAATGGTCACTCCACACAAGCAAAGTACCAGCAAAGGAGAAAAAAAAACCTCCAGAGAAGTTTCAGATACAGGAAGTCTAGTCCTGCAAAGAATGTAAAAAGGGTTAACGGAGAGGCAGTTTCTGTCAGCAACACCAGAATGTTTCCTTCCTGCTTCCTTACAGGATTAGGCCAGTAATTTCTTCTAACAACCGGTTCACCGAACTGCTTAGAATGTTAACCGGTTCTAGCGAATAGGTGTGAACTGGTAGAATCCCACCCTTGTTTAGAACCAGTTGTAACCACCACTAGTTCAGCACTATTATATGTTTGAACAATTGCTCAACAAGTGCTCATTAACTGAGAATTAGCTGCATACTCTGGATTTACAGTATCTATTTGCTTTGTTGCATATCATCCAAAAACCCTTCAGGTTGGAGATGGATATAAAAACTGTAAACAAATAAATAGAAGTTGACTACCTTTTATTTGTTGTCCTGCAGTCTATACAGTATTTTAAAAATGAATAGCATGATGGACATCTCCATTTCAGATTTTTTTTTTTTTACTCCTCTTCAAAATCTGCTGTACAATCAAAAATACAAACAAAACTTCAGCCCTAATGAGTTGCAGAGTAGCAATAATTAAGAGACAAACCTCTTGGTCTGTGAAGATCTCAATGAAATTCTGAAATGAAAAAGATCCTGACTGAAGAATGAGTTCGCCTGTATTTTCAAAGTTCTGCCCAGTTAGTACCAGAAGTTTATGTCGTGCAGCATCTGTTATCATTAAACGCACCTGCAGTAGAAGATACAAATAATCACTTTGAACATCTTTTATACTTCATGCTTTTTAGGGGGAAAATAATATTAATAATCTCAAGGATATTATAGATTACCCTCGGACCGTATTTATAAAAAAAAAAAAAGGTGGAATGATTGTGTTTCAGTGAAGGAGGAAGATTGTTTTGTTAAAAAAAAAAGGCCCACATATATTAGAAAATGAAAGGGGAATCCTATTTAAAATCAAAACAGTATTGCTAATCCAATCAAGTTAAAAGAACAGAATAACAAATCCAGTGAAAATTAAGAAGTTTGAGAATTTTGGAAAAATAAGCGTATATGGTGTAATTCACAATAAACCTAAGCAATCGATTTGGTCTGCACAATATTGGGACTACCAGATTGCAAAGATCTGGATGACCATTAGAGGAAATCAAAAATAGTTTTTGTACTTCTTTGCTATCATCTAGAAAGTCATCTAGGGTTTTCATTGTTAATGCCAAGGAAAGCAACCACATGATTGATTAGCAGAATTTGACTTCCCCTGAAATGGAACAACAGTAGATTTTAGGTGCGCATTCAAGGGAAGAGACTTCCACAGATACGTCCTCATGACAAGAAAAATGATCCCAAGATCTGTATTAATAATTCAGTCTGAAACTGAATTTGATGAGACACACACAATTCATATGATTTATTTTCATAGGATATATATTGTATTCTGAAGTAAATCTGCATAGAAAAGAGAATCAAAGCTTAAGTCTCCCCTCCATGTCTCCACAACCATCAGCAACATCTTACGTCTCTCAGAAACCTCACTCTTCCTTTCCCTGACACAATTGGCTAACCACTCCTTCATCTGGGTTATGTGGTAGCACTAACCATGGCAATTAGCTAACATTCATCCATTTCTCTGACTTCAGTTTGCTGTTAAAGAGAAACCTGACCATCTACTGTGGGTGGATCAACAAAAGCATTATGTGGAGAACACCTGTGGAGGACAGGGGAATTGTGACCACTGTGCTTGTTACCCAGCAGGAAAGGGAAAACCACAGGAGGTGAGCCAAAGTGGGTGATTCTAGTAATGGGAAAATTACTTCCACTGCAGTTACACACAGGAAATGCTGCAAAGTGGACTTCTTGCTGTTCTCTCTGGATTAAGAGCCAGGCTATTAATTTCCTTAGCTTTCCAAACTCTAAGAAAGTCCCAGAGCTTTGAATGGCATCAACCTGAGATCAAAATATCCCCCATGTGTGAGGGGATCAAATTTTCATCAGCAAGAGATAAATTTTAGCAGAGAAAAAGTACCTCATCCTTATACCTGCAGTTGTCGGAGAAATCGAATTAATGATTTTTTAATGCTATGTTACCAAATGTAGGAAATCATGTGTCAGAAATATATAATTACAGGTAGTCCTCACTTAACAACTGCCTTGTTTAGAGACCATTCAAAGTTATGATGTTGCTGAAACAAGACCCTTATGGCCATTCCTTACCCTCTGAAGTAGCCCCACATCTCTGTGATCACAATTTGCATGCTTCACAGCCAGCTTCCAATGAACAACTTCTCAAAGGAGACACCAGAAGTAAAATCAGCAAGTTGTGAACATGTAATGTCTCACTTAATGACTGTGGGTGATTTGCTTAAAGACCACAGTGGAAGTGGAGTTATAAGCCCATCACAGTCACATGGCAACTATACTACCATATAGGGTAAGAAATGAGCAAAAAACAGTGAGATATAAAATAATTGTGAGCAGTTTGTTAAGTGATTTAAATTAAAAGACAGCTTGCAAGTAAAGAGTTCAGGATTTTGGATGATAAAGAAATTGAAGATATGTTAAAGAAAGACAAGGATTCAAGAATTCTCAAAAATATAACAATTGGAAATGTTTTATAAAACTATAACCCCTTTAACACCTTCCAGAAAATTATCTCCATGAAAAATGAGAAGAAAATATCAATCAAATTGTAATTTTAAAAGATCCAAAAAAATGATGGGTGAGTTAATGTTTGTCAAAAAATATCAACAGGATTTTGAATATTTGGGAAACTGGTAGAAAACCCTAAGAAAAATGTAATAATCAGAAATTAATTTAAAATAAGCAGAAAAACATGCAGTTTTAACAAATTGATGAATGAGCACTACTCTTCAAGGTGGTTTAGATGAATGGGTGAGAACAATAGGAAAAGTCACCTGTCCCTCTGAGTAATTATAGTTTTGTCAAAAGCATTTAATTGGCCACTGAGAGAAACAGGATACTCCCATCAGTCTGCCATGCATGTTATTTTATATTGTAGTCACATCATTTGCTTTTTCCTCATAAATTATAAAGAAGATACACAATGTCACCAAGGAAATGGAAAGGAATATGAAACATCATTTATTTATTGATTCATATATTTAGGGCTTATTTTTAGTGCAGGAAAAAATGAGAGATAAGCATGAAACCAAAAATATAACACAATTAGACCACAATCTTAATATATACTATTACTTTACCGGAATATAATTCACACTAAACTCAGTTGAACTTACTTAACAGTAGATATGCATTCTATTTCATTTCAAGTAATACAGATATAATAGGTAAATAAAAATATAAGTATCTCTGGTCTAATTGCTTTAAGTTATTTTATCCTCATAGCATGTAATTTTGATTAAAGTATATCAGCATATGTATGCTTTTTTAAAATTACTTTACCTCAGTGCTGACTGCTTCATCTGAAGGATTAATCAGCACAACGGTTTCTAAAACTTCACTTCTGTGGTGAAGGATTTTCTGACCTGTAAATATAGAAGGGAAAAAATGAATTTTAAATCCTGCATTTTATGTATTTATGGTTTCCCTATAGACATTTATTCTTCTAAGCAAACTGCTTTTTTGCAGAACATTTAAAATAAAATCTACATGTTAGTATCATGAAATAATTGCGATCAGGCAACACAGCCTAAAAACCTTTTAAACCTTTTGATTCAGTTTGTTTCATATTACCGGAAATGTGTTTATTTTTCAATGCAACTGCCAGCCATAGCTTTTTCTAACTTTCCTTTTCTTGGCATCATTCTGATGGGTGCTTTTTGGTTTGAGAGAGGGAGTAAAATTAATTAGCAATTTAGACTGGGATTATAAAGGCAAAGCCACTGTTTAAGCACCCAACTGGCAACCAGTCCAACATCTTAGGAAAAAAGTGTGGCACATTTTATTAAAACATCCTGACAAAAAAGCATGCAAAGAGCAAACTATTTAATTGACAAGTTTTAAAAAATGATTTTTTTTTCAGTTCAATGTACTTCAGGATACTAATTTGTACTAGTAAAATTATACAATTGAGCTTTTGGTATTAGTAATGATCAACAATATGTCATTTATGCTTATTCAAATGCCAACTTGTCCTTTTCTCAAAGTAATTACTATATTGTTTATACAAAGTCACTAGCATCACAATATTTAAATGATTAGCTACATCAATTGATTAAAATATTGATTTTCAATGATACCATCAATTAATCAGGTGGCAGATCTTTTTTTTAATCCACTCAATAGAAATCCTTATTAAAAACTCCAGATGGCAAGCTCATTATTAAAAGAGACATCCCAAGAGTAAAAGAGATAAAGCAGAATGTCTAATATGATTAATACAAAGGATATATGTTTTTGCTCCTATACTCCACCAGAATCAGATTGGTGTAGCCTATAAATGCTGTAAAATAATCTAAAATAAATAATGAATGTTTAAATAGACTATAGACTTAATTCTTTAAAAGCATTTCCTTTCACAAACACCATATATATTCATTCAGAAATAAATCCTACTGAACCTATGGGCTTTATTTCAATCTGGATGGGAGCCATAAGTTATTTGTATTTCTTACTCAAAACTAAGTTCAACTTTGTTAAATAGAGTTTATAGTTGCACCCATTTTTCTCAATTTCAGTAAAGATATTCAGTATTCCTAGCCTTCAGATTAAGAAAGTCAAATTAGCTTGTGATACACACACAGAGAGAGAGAGAGACATATATGTGTATCTTTTAGTGTATACAGCATATATAATAAACTAATAGGAAGCAATAAATATATAAATCTTTCTATAAAAATATATGCTAACTAGCCTACATGAGAATATTTGGAGTTAGGGTTTCAATATAACTAGTGGGCATGGTTAAAGAAGGCTATGCTATCTCTAATTATTCGAGTTCTGGGGTGGTAAAATGTTATGCAACAATATATTAGGAAGGCTGATCTACTTCTATATTGATGGTACATGGATCTCCCCCCCCCCCCCGGTTTCGATCATCTGTCTCTGACATCTGTCACCCCATTGATTAAATAAAAACTTCTTTTGGGCTACAAAATCTGGGGTGTAAAAATCCAGTTGATCAGAAGATGGAAGCAAAACAGATTTGTGTATTTCTTTGTTGGCATACAGGTTTTTGCAGCCTGATTCCGGGGTGTCTAGTAGAAAAGATTTCCTTCTGGCATAATATTCTACAGATGCACTACACCTTTGTTAAGGATTTCTGTTGCTCAGTGTGTTCTTGTGGCAAGTCAGATGGCCAAGTAATCCTTTACATTGCTATTGGTTTTATCTTCTCTGTGTCTAAATATCATTTGTTTTGTATACAAGACCATTTCTTTTAGATAAAGTTTATTTCTGAAATAATAAAAAATATATTAGTAAATAAAGACACCATTTGAAATAAATAAAGTGAAAATAAATAAAGACTCATTTGAATCTCAGATTTTTTTAAAAAAATGAAATAGAACAAATTTTAACAGAAATTTCATTATGGTAATTAGGAACTGAATTCCTGTTTTAACATTTTAATCCAAACAGGAAATTTGCTTTGAGTAGGTTGTTAACAGCAAGCTCTTCAAAAGGCAGGAATATATGTGTTTTTATCACTGAATTGACCACTCCCCAGGGAAGAAAGCATTCTGTCCACAGCCTCTGGACCATATGTTTGGGATTTTAAAATTGATCACGCTCTTGGATGGCATCTGCTGGGAGCAGGAAGAGAATAGTGTCTCGATCTTTGCCCTTGACTTTTTCAGCCACCTTCAATATTATCAATCAAGGTATCTTCCAGGACCTGCTCCAAGGGTTGGGAGTGGGTGGCCCTCTGATGTGTTGGGTCTTCTTCGTTTGGGGGTGGTTCAAGTTGCAGAGGACCAGCAAAGGTCCAGGCCACAGCCACAATTTGTGGAATGCTACAGGGCTCAGTTCTTTCTCCTCCCCCTCTTATTTAACTATTTATAAGAAGCTGCTGGGTGAAGTCATGCAATGATTTAGGGTGAGGGGATCTGTCTCCTGGCGACACAAATAATTGTTGGTTTTCTCAGCTACTGTGTATTTTTTGGATATGTATTTTTTTCTGTTTTACCAACTCTGTTTTATCAACCCTGTTGTTGAATTAGGCAGTTATATAAATTTATGAAACTAATTAGAAATAAGACATTAAAAACAATTCAGATTAGAAACTTAAAAAATGAATATTTTCAACAATACATTTAAAGATTCTCTGACAAAATTAACATCAAACAGATTCTAATAGGTGTTTCTAGCTATTTGCATTTTGTAATTTGCTTCTCCTACATCTTTTATTTATCAAAATAATGTCCTTAAATCCATTTTGTGATGTAATCTTGAGCATACCGGTTTTTTTACAGAAATACAGGTTTTGGAATATGCAATATATTTAGAAGAATTGCAGGCTATATGCATTTTCCAAAATCCAAAAATTGAACTGAGAAAATATTTAGGATTGCATTTTTTAAAAAAAATCTTCCTTCGGGTATTTCACTAGGTAATTTTATTGCAAAACAAAACATAATCCAATTAATTAATACATACAAAATATAAACATTGTTTGGGAGGGTATTTCAATTATAGCACTTTTCAAGAGTTTGGTTCTTATTTGCTAGTGATGAAAAACATTTTGAAGTATCTAGTTGGAACATCTGTAGGGAACAAAGAATTGTTGCACTTAAAGACCAGCTATGTACATGATAAATATATGTAAAACTAAATCAACCAATTATTTATCTGAAACTTTAAAAAAAAAAATTGGCTTGATACTTGCTGGTAGATTTGGATAGTTTATTCTACCTTAGCTTTTAAGTAGAGACACCAGCTCTCTCATGAAAATACAATCTACTCAGAATTGTTCTAATTACTGCCTATCTACCCAATTACTTTATGGGGTCTTTTGAAAACTCAAATCATTTTGTATGAAAGTCTGTGCTCTATGAAAGTAAACTGTTGTCTTAAATCAAGTTTCATGCACCTAACGGTGTCGGGTATCAAAATAATTGTATCTACTCTTATCACTATATATTGATTTGTTGTATCATTTGCCAACTTTATGTGACGTTTAATTTGCTGTCAAACTACTGCCATTAATCAACCACAGACAAACAGCTGACCTTTTGCCCCTATTATTTACCATGGGGATAAATGTTTCTTCAAAACTGTTCTATATATTATACGTTGTCACACTGCTTCTATTTATGTTTTAATAAAGCTGGAATTTCAAGGTAACTGCTAGAGCCATTCTCTAAAATGGTGACAATTGAGTACATATATAAATTAAAAACTTCTACTTTGCTTTCTTCTATGGTTTGAATAAAGATTTGATTTAATTTTAATTTGATTTAAACATATGTAATTAAATATCATTAGCTTTAATTTAGTTTAACAACTCTTCAGTTATAAACCATTCCACAGAATAACAATCTGATGTGTTCCTTAATGGACTAATACTAGCTTTCTAATTTACCAAATTATAATTCAAAAGTGCCTAGGATGGATTTATCTTCCTTAATACTGATGCACAAATAACATCAAGCAATTGATGCTCATTACATTCACATTATTCCTGCATCAAAACCACACCTGAATCAATAATATAACCTCAAGGGAAATTAGCTTTTCTTTGTGGAAAAAAAAAGAGCCTAGGGCTTGAGAAAAGGCGCCAGTAAACTGTTTTAGACACATTGTTAACAAGAATATCTACCTTAACTTCTTATAAATATATATAAAATTCATAGCTGAGGGCAGCAAAAAAAGGAATGGTGCTTCAATGGAAAGCTGTCATTATAAATGCTTTTGTAGTACATGCCAAGCCAAAACTAAGCAAGGTGTCATTTTCTTTTCCATTTTCTCGCAATGCTGTAATTCTCAATGACAGGATTAGTAGGGAATACCATCAGTGATATTAAGTGGTAATGATGTATGCCTATAGTAGTATGTTCATTAAATAGTTTGACCCATAGCACTGGGCCAGGACTTTCCACTATCCTCACAGAAAGAGCTGGGAGAACATTTAGAAAAAGGTGGCTGCAGAGATAAATGCTGCTGAATTTTAAATTCTCTTTGGTCCTGTATTCTTTACTTCTGCAACTCTGCTGCTATCACACACACACACCGGTCTGCTCTCTGGATAGTGTGTGAGAGTGAGCCTTAGGCAGCCAAGCAACAACTCTATAGAAACACTTAAGTCTCGTGGGTAATGTAAAGCACTGAATAAATACATCTGCTGCTACCTGAGAGCTGGTCAGCTTTCAGACAATCTGCCGAAGTTGTGAGTTCACTGGTGGAAAAGGGTCAGGATGTTCATTATCAATGGAGTTTCATCTATGGAGGTAGCCTCAACTCACAACTATTCTTTTAGTGACCAATGTTACAATGGAGCTGAAAAAGGTGATTTACAAATAGTCTTCACAGTTAAGACTGTGCATCCTCATGGTTATATGATTGCAGTTTAGGCACTTGGCAACTTGCG